GTTTGACATGTGTTGCTAATGAGATGAAGTTAAAAGATGCTTTGGGTCGTGTTAAGTACATGGAAGAAATTGTCAAATAAGATGAGGTGCTTTCTTGCTCAACTTGTAGAAAACAAAAAGGTCTTTTGGATGCTTGCAAAAATTGTGCTACTCTTACTCAAGAGGTTTCTTACTTGAAAAGTTCTTTGCAAAGATTTTCTGATGGTAAAAAGAACCTCAACATGATTCTTGATCAATCTAAGGTCCTACAGTATATATAGTGTGCAAAGCAAGACCAGGGAACTAACTTGTGTGGCTACTACGTGTGCGAGTATTGCCACTGCCTTGCAGACCAAATCATCACCACAAGAGAGCTCGGTGTACGTACAAATAAATTCAAAATTTCGTTACGTACATATAGATTTGTTGTTTACTAATTAATTTCATACATTCATAGGTTATTCGCATGAGGGATAACTCATACACAAGGAATTTATCGCGGCGGTTCAAGAACAACTCATGGGATTCATCAACGAACAAGTCCTTGATCCTGAGGTGAATTCTACTACGACGGAAATACAATTCATAGGTCGCTAGCTAGGACATAATGAATTGTAATTAATACATGTCTATTTTTCTATATGTACACATTTACTTTAGTGTAAATATATATTTTGGTCATATGTATGCACATAAAATGTTAAGTGCTTTAATATATACATATGCATTTGCATACATATATGTATAAATACATATATATTATGCATGTATATGTATTGAAAAACATATATAAATATAATATATATATATATATATATATATAGGATGACTCTTATATACACCCGGGTGTACATACTCCCTCCCCTCATACCATTGATTAACTTTGAGATCTGTACCTGTTAACGGGTTGGCAGTGCAGAGTCACGCAGAGTCACGCAGTATGTACCCATTAGCCGAACGATGCGTGGTATTAATTTGAAAAGTGATTAATTACCGATAATGCATAACTAACCACCTGAAGAATAGGTCAGTGCAGCTAGTGGGTGGTGAGGAACGGTATCTGCATCGTCAAAGTCACGTACTGCTTCATTAGGATTTTGGTTTGCTCCGTCCTGGTCGAGTATAAGCCACCGCGCGGAGCTGGTGATTTTGGATGGATGACGTTGTGAAGAACCACACCGATTTCAATTGTACCACAGGGTCTAGGTATGTTATACTGATTTGATGATTGATTTTTCAGTATGTGCCGTTGGGTTTTTTTCATTTGATTTATGGGTGTGAACAAGAATGATTCTGGATCATTGATTCAGTCAAATTATTATGGATGAATGCAACCCTTCCTTCGGCATACCTGATGGCGATTCAATCCCACATGGTGTCCAGACAAGGTGAGATCAAGATACCATATTTTCTGAATTGTAGAAATAATCGGCCGATACTGATGCATATTGAGTTGTGTTCTGCAGTCCTGTAGCCATGGAGGAGGACATGTCATTGACAGTTGGCTCGCATGATTCAGGTCATGGAACTCCGGTGACAAGGTATCTTTCTTGGCATAGTTATCAGTTGATCATATACTTTGGAATTGAGTGGTATAAAATCATTTTCTGTCTCTATTACAGAAGTGTGCTCCCTTCACTAGATTGGACTGAAGGAAACCCAGCTGAAAAAGATGGGGCAGGGATACCGATGGAAAGGTTTGGATCTCATGTTGATTTCTTTTCGCTTTATTTGATTTTAATGGCATGTTGTTGGTTGTATGTTCTGAAGACTGAATGAATACAATCTTTTCAGAATGGTAGTAGATAATGTTGACAGCAGTGCTGCCATTCCTCTGGAGTATGCTGATGCTAATATTCTTGCTCCCGCATTGGGGCAAAGATTTAAGACTGAGAGAGATGCCTTTAATTTTTATAATGTTTATGCTGTTAGTAAAGGATTTGGGATCCGTCTGAATAAAGAGCGCCTTAATGTTAATAAGCAGAGAACAATGCGGCAGATTTGTTGTTCACACCAGGTACCAACATTTATGACAGTATGTTTGTTGTGGCAATGAACTGATAGTTTTTTGTGATGGAGTATGTGTTAATTTGTAATTGATCCCTGTAGGGGAAGAACACAAATACCAAAGAACCTTCTGTTCGAATTGGATGCCCAGCAATGATCAAGATAAATAGGTTGAAAGGTGCAGGAAGCTGGACAGTAACTAAGGTCGTCGCTGCACACAACCATCCAATGAAAAAGAGTATAGGGGTTACAAAGAATTATCATTCACACAATCGAATAGATGAGGGGACTCGGGGTATTATTGAAGAGATGGTGGACAATAGCATGAGTCTGACAAATATGTATGGTTTGTTGTCTAGCATGCATGGCGGAGCTTCCATGGTTCCATTCATGAGAAAAGCTATGGATAGGCTAGCGTATGCAATTAGGCGGGATGAGTGCAGCGACGACATGCAAAAAAACACTAAATGTCCTGAAGGATTTGCAAAAAAGGAGTAAGAATTTCTTTTATAGTATACAGCTCGATGAGGCTTGCCGTGTGAAGAACATATTCTGGTCTCATGCTGTGTCTAGATTGAATTATGAGCATTTTGGTGATGTCATTACATTTGATACTACGTACAAGACAAATAGGTATAATATGCCATTTGCACCATTTGTTGGGGTAAACAATCACTTTCAGAGTACCTTCTTTGGGTGTGCCCTGCTGAGAGAAGAGACCAAAGAATCGTTTGCATGGTTGTTCGAGACATTCAAAGACTGCATGAATGGGAAGGAACCTATTGGAATTTTAACAGGTATGCGCGTATTTGGTCGTTTTCAGAGTTCGATAGGATTTCAAAGTTTACTATGCTTATTGTAAGTATTTGACCTTTTTATTGCAGACAACTGTCCTTCAATGGCAGCTGCCATTCGAAAGGTATTTCCCAACACAATCCATCGTGTGTGCAAGTGGCACGTTCTGAAGAAAGCAAAAGAATTTATGGGGAACATCTACTCGAAGCGTCGATCATTCAAGAAAGCATTTCACAAGGTTCTCACGCAGACACTGACAGAGGATGAGTTTGAAGCTGCTTGGCACAAACTGATTAGTGATTACCAACTGGAAAACAATGTATATTTGCGTCACATTTGGGACATAAGGCGCAAATGGGCGTTTGTATATTTTGCCCATAGGTTCTTTGCTGGGATGACTACTACGCAAAGAAGTGAGTCTGCAAACCATGTGTTCAAAATGTTTGTGAAACCCTCTAGTTCTATGAACGGGTTTGTTAAGAGGTATGACCGGTTTTTCAATGAGAAACTGCAAAAGGACGACTCAGAGGAATTCCAAACTAGTAACGTAAGTATCCATTTTGACATTTTTGTTGTTCTTATTTAATTGATTATTATAATCATCTTTTGGTGTCACTCGGTGCAGGACAAGGTTGAAATTAAAACAAGCTCACCGATAGAGATTCATGCTTCCCAAGTATATACTAGAGCTGTTTTTCAGTTGTTCTCTGAGGAGTTAACTGATAGTTTATCATACATGGTGAAACCTGGGGAGGACGAAAGCACAGTGCAAGTTGTACGAATGTGCACAGAAGAGTCTAGCTCATTCCTTCGGAAGGAATATCAGGTGTACTATGATGTGGAAAGAGAGGAATTTTCATGCGTTTGCAAGATGTTTGAGCATAAGGGGATACTGTGCAGCCACGTTTTAAGGGTATATGTTTCTTCATTTGCAACTTCTATTGAAGTATTCTTGATTATTTTGTAATTCATTGTTTTGTCCTGTTAGGTGCTTGTTCAGTATGGGTTGTCAAAAATTCCAGATAGGTACATATTGAAAAGATGGACGAAGAATGCACGGGATTCTGTTCCACCTCATCTACATGGATACAAAGATGATGTCGATGCTTCACAATAGAGGAGTTATAGACATGTAATGCTGAATAAAAAGTCTGTGGAGGTGGCTAGTGTTGCAAACAAAGATGTGCAGACATTTAAGATGGCAATGACAGTCATCAATCAACTTTTGGAAGACATGAAAAGTCGGTTATCTTTAGATGACGATGACAATAGTGGAGCAGCCCCAAAGCGAGCAACTATACAAATATCAAGGCCAACGGTATTATCCGAAGATGGAAATGAAGATGTTGGCGCTGCTGACGTCGACAGTGCGTATGATATGTCGAGTGAGGAAGAGAGTGGAGATAATACTGGTGATGTACTTCCACCCGTGAGAAAGCGAAGCAGAGGAAGGCCAAAAGTGAATAGGTATAAATCTAGCGGTGAGGCTGCCAGCATGAAAAGAAGAAAAGAAGTAAGGAGTGAAAAGAGTAAAGCAGCAAATGAGGGTGATTCCGTTGAAGAAGAAAACCAAGACAATGATCATGCGGATGAAATGCCTTTTCCTCGTAGGTTTTGCCACACATGCCACCAAGCAGGACATAATTCAAGAACCTGCGGCCGGACGTCTACGTACAAGAGAAAATTTTAGTATATGGTTCATTGTAGTTTTGTATAGCCCCTTCTGAATGTTTAAAGTGGTTTTGCTTTAAGTTGTTTCCAGTTAAGTTGAGAGATGTTTGCGTTTGCTTTCTGTGAGCAATTTATTATGATTATGGAAGTGGTGGATTGGTCAGTTTTTACTATATTAAGTAAATTTTGCTTCAATTTTTTACAATTGGATATTTTTGGTGGTTGTATCTTCAGTGGAAACAAATGGATGTGTGTTAACAGGAATCTATATCATTTACATGATGGTATTTTCTCTTTAAAGAGAGAAATGGAAGTGTTTTTTTGTGATGTTTATCCTTTGGAAAAGGTATGTGCACTTGCGTGGGTTTGAGTTGTATTTTCTACATCAACGAAGACACGTACTACTTCATTAGGCCAGGACCGAAGGATTTTGGTTTGCTCCATCCAGTTCATGTTTAAGCTGCAGCGCGGCAGCGGGGATTTTGGAAGGATGATTAAGTGAATAACCACATCCCTATGGATGGTACCATTGGGTGTAGATACAAAAATAAGCCATACAATCAGTTGAATAAACACTTGCATACTGTTATTGTTTGGGGTAGCGAAAAATTGAAATAACTAAGTATGTGGAACTGTCATTTGAACACAGATGTTTCTTTGTCCATGCATAGCAACGAATTTAAGATTCTGTCAAGCGAAGACATAAGTGAATATCGAAAATTACATGAAAAGTTATGGTAAAACTATAAGGATAAAATTGTTGAACTAATTGTATTTAATATGTCGAAGACGGTGCACCACATATTCTGGAAGTATTGCCTCGTTATCACGCAGAGCCAATAGGTGGATCAAAAATTGTCGCCGGAGGTAGTACGGGTCCTGTGAATGTTACAGTTTTTCGTTATAGCTTATTGGCGAAGACTTTATGGTGGAGTGTGGTCTACAAAGGGTGGAAGCCATTATATACCTGTGAAGTAGAGTTCACAAGACGAAGACCATCCCAGTTCACCATATTATTGAATACGTGAAAGCTGCAGTCATCCCTATGTGTTTTTGTAAAAGTATTGTCAGTTCAAGCTATGGAGAGGTTGTATACTGTTTGGTGGAGTAGTAACTCACCCGTTTTGCTGCTCTGGTATATTTTCCACTGCCTCATAGTCCCAGTTCAGTATGTCCTTGTTCCACCCTGGAGATGCCAGACGCATGCATTCCATTACGCACCGGGACACCATGATCTTAATCTTGTCATGCCTGGTGAAACGTGATTCCCCAGTGGATCTTGGGTGTTCAGTGAATCAAGGACTAATACCTTCTTGCTCTCCATGTTAAATACGTACAACACGTAATGTTTGAATAGGTGAACAGGTATTAGTATCTGCAAAGTAATTGTTTCTTAGTGGGATGGCTTCTCTGTTATTGTTCACAAATAAGACTACAGATTACGTACTGAAAAATCAAACTCACCATGTGACTATCTGAAACATCATATACAACTTCGGGGCCCGTGAAGTGTGCAAGTTGATGACTAGCTTCCCAAAATTCATCTCCAGCTACAGCATACATCTAAAAAAAATCATTGAATTTGAATGCCCATTAGCAAAAGAAGAATATTTTTTTGACGTGTGCAATGTTACCCCAAAATCTTGGTTAATGAAATGCCACCAACCCAAGTAGTTTGTGTTTTGAAATCTCTCAACTTCTTGTTAGAACATTATTCGAATAGCAAGGTTGAGAGAATCTGAATCCATTCGGCTCCCAATCTTTATAGTCTCCTGGATGTTTCGTAGCGTCAATGAAATCCTGAATGGATAGGAACATTGCAGCCATTTTGTGCTGAAATAAACCATAAGAGAATAAAAGAATGTCAGGTTAGGTGGGGTGTGATACTTGGTATAGTTGAATAACAGGACTTACTCTAACGATGCCTCGTTAGAAATAGACATAACATAGGAATACAGTTCATCAGTAGTCCTGGAGTCCAGCCTCTCAGTCGAACATTGTTTTGACAGGAAAGGTGACATGAGTTTCCTGTTTGGTTTAACTGCACGCTTTGATTTGTGTTTCAGCAAGTGAGAAGGTGGTTTTCAACAGTATATTTGCGCTTCTTCTGCTCGTCGGTTCCGAATTCTTCAATTAGCATAATTGAACATTGGTTAGTCATGCGTGTTCCCGACGTAGGCGACATTGAAGAATTAGTCTCTTTCGAACCTGGATATGTGAGACTGATTAGTACGCAGTAATCAGGTTTTTTATTTGATTTTTTAATCTTTTAGCACACCAACCTGGAGCTCCATTAAATTTTGTAGGAGTGCACTGCGAGGCTCCAAATTTGTGATCACAGTGTCGGGTATCTGATAAATGAAGAATGTAAGAAATTTGTTAAAGTCACATTTTGTAAGGATTTTGTGTGTTCATATTGTTAATAGTCAAGCGTTACCTGTTGGTTGCTCCACTATATTTTCATATTCTGTAGCATGTGTGGAGTAGTTCGTGGGTGTGTGGTATCCCATGGCAGAGGGGTCTCCCCATGGATGGAGAGGCCCTTGCATATCCTCAATGGTATCAATAACATTCCTAACTGCTGCCCTCGTCGCTATCTTAACTGCCGCTGCCATATTATACTTGAAAGCTTTCTTGAACATGTTTGCTGCTTCAGTAGCAGTTTTGAGGTTGCTTATGTCTACGAAATCTGCTATGCTAGGCAAAATCTCATCAATCCGATTGAATCCATCCTGAACGTAAGATTTCAACTCCTTATAGGCCTGTGTTTTTAATCATAGTAACCACAAATTATACTTAATCCCATTGTCGGATATAGTCTGAAGTAGCATACTGTAACTATGGTTCACGTACCTGTGGCCCAACCATTGCACTCACGTCTAACGAATTGAAGTGTGATTCCAGGAATTTGATTAAATTGGCGCCTCCATCATTGCCTCTGCATTGTATCTTCGAAACGGAGGATAAGTTGAGGGGAGACACCTCTGGCGCTTGAGGGTAGTTTTCTCTTGGAGCCTTCATCAACTGAAGAACATATGCGTTGCTAATTAGCTTATTTTTTGCAGCCTTAAATAGGTATATTAGAGTTAGGGCACCATACATACCTGGAGCTTCCCATAACGAGGGAAAGTGTATCCTGGATTATGTTTACTTACTATATCTTGTTGGATCATCATAGCAATTTGATTGTCCTCAAACTGAGAAATGTGGCATGATTTAACACTCGTGATCCCAACCTTCTGTATCACGAGTTTGCTCAAATATTTTGCCTGCACAATTGCTTCAAAATGTCAATATGTGTGTTGATTATATACTGCATTAGGAAGGCAGGTATTAGTGCTAACCATTAGGAAGATGATACACCCGTTAATGGATTGTTGCGTCGTATTCGGAAAGCGTTTGGGCAATGATTCTGCTGCTTTCTTCACCTCATCTATGACGAACTGGGACTAGTTGTACTGTTTTATGTTGTCAACATCAGCCACAGCTCTAATATACCTAGGAGATATGAAGTTTGCGCAGGATTGCGGTGCCAAGAGCTTTGTTGTGACATATTACACAAAAGCCGCCTTGAATTCCCTCTTTTCATCTATTGTCATGGGATGAACATACTGCTTCTTTAGGACTCTCTCTAAGAGTGATATTTTCAGGTGTGAAAAGTTTGGAATCTCAAATATTTCACACAATTTTTGTTTCTTCCCGTCTAATTCATCTTGTGAGCAAGGGATAATAAGTTGACCTGAGCATGGCAAGCCAAAAACTGCATTGACATCGTTGGGACCAAATGGCAACTCCTGGTTGAAATCTGTAACAATAGTGCCTGATTTTGGATCAACCTTGCTCAGAAGCCATGCCCCAAACTGCCTGTTTACCTTAGTAAGTTTGATATCCAAAATTCCATCAAATCCAATTTCAGCAATCAACTCCTTCTTCCTATCATCGAAGTCTTTAGTGATATTCACTATGCATTTGGGCTGGCACCTGCAATTGATACCAAAGGTAGTGTTGTCTTTCTTCTGTCTATTTAGTACCCTGCTTTGCCGATACCTAGATACCACCCGTGCAGCCGTCTTTTGAAGGCTACCCCTTGTGCCTGAGACCTTGAAAGCCTACGGATAATTATTTTTCAGAACACAAATATAACAAATACTAAGGCTGAGAAAAATTGAGCGTATTTAAAAATTCAACATGTACTTCTGTTTTAAAAAATCTGCATATAACCTTCTCTGGAAAAATGAAGGATATATTTCTGTGAAGCAAATTCAGCCTGTATTTGCCCCCTCTTTGAAAAACTAAGCATGTCTAAGGAAATAAGCAGTATATCTTTGTAAAATGCAGTACATACTGTATACCAATCCAGTATGTACCAGTCAGTATATATCAATCCAGTATGTACCAGTCAGTATATACCTCTCTATGGAAAAAATAAGTATATACCAATCCATAGAAATGCAGTATATACAAGGTTCAATACCAATCCATAGGAATGCAGTATATGCAAAGTTCAGAACATACTACAGATGAAAAAAAAAAACAGCATATACCTCTCTATGGATAATTGCAGTATATACCAATCCAGTATGTACCAGTCAGTATATACCTCTCTATGGGAAAAAGAAGCATATACCAATCCACAGAAATGCAGAATATACAATGTTCAATAGATACTTATGTTTAAAAAAAATAAGTACATACCCATGTATGGAAAGCATATACTTCAGGTGTAAAATCGGCATATACATTATCCCAAATAAAACAGCATATGCATTCAGAGTCAAGAAATTGCCATCCACAACTGAGATCATGCATGAACCGAACTATGCATAACCCCTCTCTATAGGCAACAAGATGATCAATTTCTGGTGACATACCTTGGACTGCGGTGACAAACTGATTCTCCCATGACTCTGCAAGCGAGAAAAATTTAGGAATCGAGCGTCGATCTTGCCGTATAAAATACACAGATACTAACCTGCTGCTTTGGATGACCTGCACTACTGTGACTCCTCGATTTTGCCCCGGCTGCCCCGCTCCTGCATTTAGGCGACTCCAGATCGATGACATATATATATATATATATATATATATATATATATATATATATATATATATATATATATATGTGTGTGTGTGTGTCTTTTTTTTGGCATTGCATGCAGGGCTTTCTTGGGTGGTTGAGACAATGGAAATTCTTCAAAAAAACAAATGGATTATAAAACAATTCATACAAGAGAAAAAATAAATTCTTTTAGTTTAAAATGTTACAACAACTCTCATCAAATACATAACGAGTATCTCTAGTTGAACACACAACTTCTATATATGGGAGGCGGTGCATGCGCCGATTTCTTCTGGCTCGATTGATGTGTCAATTATAGGTAGGAAGCACACTTTCAGCTTAATTTAGTTCGCCCACGATAGCCTTTATTTCGGGCCTATCATCTCTGTTCTGATTTAAACACTTCACCGCAATATTGATGCATCTTTTCACTTGATTTATTTCTGCAGATGGATCGTGCGACTTTGCTGTTATCCTCTTTTCCCATTGCTTATACACCTATATATGATATAAAAACAGAATTGTTGCTGTAGTTGTATGCATGAGGAAAAGTGCAAACTATGTGTTCTAATAAAAAATATAGGTCATGTAGACAAATAAATTTTCTTACACGATCAATATATTTAAAACTGTCTTGATCATTCGCTTCACTGAAGTTGTCATAACCAGTAGGCCCAGCAATGATTTCCATGACCATAACTCCAAAACTGAATACATCATACTTATTTGAGATCACGAGTTTATTCAAATACTCAGGCGGCATGTAACGACTGCACGGGGCCAATGGAAGTTAAGGTCATGACCAGTTTATATAAGAAAGTCACAAATTTATTAACTGCAGGGTAAAATAAATTAGGTGCAAGAGGAGATTTCGCTTACGGTGTGCCTGTAGGTTTTGATATTGTTATGTGAGTTTTAGTTCCAGTGAAATGCTTTGATATCCCAAAGTCTGCAATTTTTGGCTCCATGTTCTCATCAAGCAATACATTGGCAGGTTTCAGGTCTAAGTGGAAAATAGGTTTTTCCAATTCATGGAGGTAATTTAATCCTTGGGAAATCACCTTGATTATATTGTATCGTGTGCGCCAGTCAAATCCATCAGATTCAGATTCTTCTGCAATGTAGAGAAAAGAGAGAACTTACGAAAATTATCTCATTTTCGCAACAGAAAATATGTCCGGAATTGTATGTAGGAACTTACTATCCAGATGCTTGTCAAGGCTTCCACCTGGCAAATACTCAAAGCACAGAATTCTTGTTATATATTGAACACTAACGTATTCCTTTCCTCGCCAGATGAATTTTTCTTTTATTTGAGAACAGTAACCAACAAACCGAACGATATTTCTATGCTGGACACTCATTAGGTGTTTAAGTTCATTCTTGAATTGATCCTCGTTAAGCACGGCCAAGCCATCAATCTTCTTGAATGCAAGTTCCTCCTCGTTGTAAACTCCCTATTATATTTGGCTTATGTAATTAATACATCATACAAAGTTACTTCCCGCTATTACTGGTGCTAGCTACTAGTATCACTTGAGAAAACAGTCCAAAGCATAAGGGATATACCTTGTAAACCTTTCCATACGCACCACTCCCAACTTTTTTTGATTCCGAAAATCCATCGGTACAGGCTTCTATGGCAGCTAGACTTATATCCACTGGTGTAGTACTTGAATTATAGCTTTGCAAGTCATGCAAGAGAAATTGAAGTTCTAATAATTAATGGTAATTAAGACGGGGAATAGACCTGGCCAATTAATTCAATGATCAAAACTGAGAGTACAAATTGTATTGTGCTTTTCTATTGATTTTAGAGGAGATCTAGCACATTGATTCATTTTTGTCCTTAAGAACTAGTGAGTAAAGACGTACTCCCTCTGTTCCCTCTATTTTAAAGTAAATAAGTCGTTTTATGTCCACCAATTGCTTCACTTATCATTTCATTTGTATAACAAAGTATAATAACATTAATTTTGCATCACAAAAAAAATAAAATAATAATAATAATAATAGTTGGTTAAAGACTTATCCTTATGAAACAAGATATGCCTTATATTTTTTATATGGACTAAAGACTTATATATTCAAAAGCTATTAAAAATAGTATGTCCTAAAATGGTAGGTCAATTATTTTGTGTCAGAGGATCATGATATAAAATGTAAAAATATAATAGTAGATTTATTGTCATAAAACTAAACAGCCTTATCTTTTTTTTATTGTTTATGCTTATACTTATCAGCCAAAATTTGAATTTTCATCTTGAAATTTGGAGCTGATTTTGGGGTTTTTTTTGTTGAAGTTTATTTTTCAGCCTTTATTTTTAAATCGTAAAGAATACTTGTATAAATGTTTTATTCACAAATATTATTATTTTAGTTTCCAGATATGTACAAAATTTTATTGTTTTTATTTTTATTATTTTAGTAGATTTATTTTTATTATTTTCGTTTGCAGATATGTTGTTGGGCTCATTTCCCGAACAAGCGAAACGATGGGGCCTTATTTTAACAGTTTTAGAAATATATAGTTTCAAAACTAATGGTAAAATAAGTGCATCGGTTATTTGCGTTCACGTATAAATTGTTTAACAAATGCTTCTCATTGTCAAAGATCATAGAACTCAATTCGTTAAACAGTAGATGTCGAGGGTCAGACGTCAAGAAGTTTGAATGTGTCGAGGTACTCTAAATGAGTAGGTAGTGATTTATTTAGGTAGTATACTGAATAGTAAAGCGCTTACATTTTAGTACAAATTTTAATTATTATATATAAGTACTATTTTGGGTGAGAGAAGTACGTTTTTAGGAAAATTAAATTAAAGACCGATTTTTGCATGGTTTGTTCAATCGTGAGAGAGCTTTTAAACTTGAAATTGATACATGGGTGCATACCTTGAGTTGAAGGATTCCCCCGAAGGCGTCATTTCACTGCTTATCGTCACACCGTTGGCTACGCTGCTTTGTTACGTTGATTAACAGATGTTCAAGATATTCTAGTTAACTTTAATGGAATCATCCTTGCTCAAAAAAATGTTTCTCAGAAAAAAAAAGAGTACTATTTTTTATGTAATCATCATCAATATCTATGATATATACCTGGATGATCCATCGAAAGGCAGCATGGTCGTCGTCGTCGTCGTCACCGCAACAGCCACGCAGCTGTTGGTGTACATGGTCCGCCTCACCTTGGCGTAGTCCATCCCGTCTCCCACAACCACGCTTTGGAGGTTCTGCACAGCAACAGCAACCACATGATCCCGATTGGGGATCGCCTCGTGCACCGAGTGCCAGTTCCCCTTGAGCTCCTCGCCGGTGAACACGTGCGCCTTGAGCAAGAGCAGCTTCCGCAGCTGCGCGTACGGTATCTTCTCCCGGAGGAGCGCCACGACGTAGTCCGGCAGCGGGCGCCGTCGGGGCTTGGCCGTCGTGTCGGCAGCGGCGGCCAATCCCAGCACGGCCTCCGTATGCACGAACAGGTGGTCGTGCGCCAGCGCCAGGACGAAGCCCAGCCACCTGGCGTCGCCGCGGACGGCGGCGGCGGTCGGCATCGGCAGGTCCAGCAGCAGGCGCACCACCTCGGCCATGCCACGCTCCAACGAAGAAAGCGGCTCGTCGTCGTCGTCATCCGACACGGCGTTGATGCCGTCGCAGAAGGAGCCCGACGTGGTGGTCGTCACCAGGCCTCTCGCCTTGGTGCTGCGGATTCTCTCGAGGGCTTGCTTGAGCTGGGTGATGGCTTCGGTGGTCAGATAGTGGTGGCCGTCGCTGCTGGCCAGCGTCAGGACGTAGATACCATCATCTCTTTTCCGTACCTTGCAGAATGTCGCCATTGTTGTTGTCTCGAGCGGAATAACTGGGTGGTCGGGAATAGGAACTTAGCTAGGCGTTGCACATTGCTCATTATTCGAGGAACCGGGGAGATCATAAGACTGGAGAAGGTTGCGTTGCAATGCAAGTCGCCATTTGTGCGCCTCATTGATAGAAAAATATTTTTTGTACATCATAAAAGTTATTTTAGATTACTATCTCATCGTTTGATCTTGACCTTATCAGTTATAACCAAAATTTAAATTTTAAAACTTAATTTAAAGTTGATTTTTAAGTTCTCTTTGAAATATTTTCTTTAAAGTCAACTCTAAATTCAGTTCTAATATAGTTTATTTTTTTCAGCATTTATTTTAAGTAGCTTAAAACTACATATATAAAAGTTTTATCCATAACTTATATCGTTTTTAAGTCTCTAGTAAGTATATAATCAACTATGAAAGGAATGAGGAGACCATATTTTCTTTTAATATCTAAGTAACCGAAAATAACATAAAATCCTTTATATTTTTGAATAGAGAAGAAGTATAAGAGAACCCCCACGCAACGCAAGTGGAGCGCCATGGCTCATGCCCCAAGACAAAGCATGGTAAAAGCGAGAAAATTGACATTGTAATGCCACTCCACGATGTGACTTTGTTAAAATGACAGTGGGTGTGTTTAGTTCCACGCTAAAATTAGAAGTTTGATGAAATTGGTACAATATGACGGAAAAATTGAAGTTTGCGTATGTAGAAAAGTTCGATGTGACGGAAAAGTTAAAAGTTTAAAGAAAAAAGTTGGAATCTAAATAAAGCCAGTATTAAATAAGGTAACCTTGCTCTTTTTTGAAACGATAAAACGGCAGGAGATTTGCTGGATATATTAGAAGGAACAAAAAAAACCATACAAAAGTCTCATGAAGGAAAAGGAAAAACGCCTGGTAGGCCATAGGCCTAGGCTAGAAAAACTGGAAGATTACAAAGAAGAGAGAGCGACTCAGAAAACTGAAAGCAGAGCTAGTCTCTCGATTTAACAAATAACTCAATATTTTCCTTAATTTGGAGGGCAACTTGGAATTCGTTCCGGTATCTATGATTGAAAATCCTCCCATTCCGCTCTAGCCACACGTTCCACCAGGTTGTTATCAAAGCACCCAAGTTCTGTCTTCTAATCTCTTTTGGTGTAATTTTGCATAAATCGATCCACCAATCTTCAATCGTGGGCGCCGAATTTGGGGGAGATGTCGTTAAGTTCAACCAGCCACTCACAAGGTAACCTTGCTGGTATGCCATTTTCTCCATTTTTAATTATTTCTTTCTTTTTATTTTGGCACATACACTGACCTTTTTTCCCCTAGGCTATTCCTTCATGTGCGTACGAAAGGGAATCGATCGATGCCTATCATATCGCACTGATCCCTTCCTCCCTCCGTGAACCTAGCCTCGCCGCTGCCCAGAATACACCGCACCTCCTCCCACAGCTGCTGCTGCCACCGCAAGCATAAACACAGGTCGAGGAACCAGTCGACGAGCCCCGGCGCCTTCTTGACGCGGGCTGCCGCCACCCATAGCTGCAGTAGCCACCCCATTGTCGCCCCTCGCCCGGGCCATCGGCGATAGTTCCCGAGCCAGAATTTCAGATGGATGGTGTCACCATTGGTTCTCAACTAGCATGACTTATATAATTAATTAATTATATGTATGATAAATGTAAAAAACAGAGAGTAACCATGAACACAACTTATTAATTCAAACATTCAGTCATTTAAGCAATGGTGACATAATTGGTAAAAATTAAATTATAAATTACTAGACAAAAACTACAGGATACAACATGTTCAAAGTAAATATATTATGTACTAGCTAGAAGACTAAAAGAAGATCAGATATCCTATATCCCAGCATCTAGTGGTTCATCAAAGAATAACAACCCTCAATCCGTCGAAGGATTGAAATCTCTGCAAACCAAATGTCCCGAATCTAAATAATCATGTGAGATTAAGGAAATTAATTGAGTAAGGCCCTCTCAACAATACATAGGTGAGATCAAAATTTGTATGCAAATTAGGTGTGTACGAAATTGGGATATTCAGTGGTCTAGAGCAAATGAAAACTCATCCATACACTAGCTGCTCCTCATCGAGACATCGGACATCTGTTTGTGCGATACAACTGCGTGAATGCCATTCTGGTATCGTGAAAGGCTAGGAAGAAGGCTGCAAGAAATCAACCAATCATCGTGAGTTTGGTTGAGCTGCATGAATTTTTTTCTGTTGGCTGCTGTCCACGGATGAGAATCAGAACAAATGTTGGCCGAAATAATTCTGAGAGTGATGTCACCAATGATAAAATACAAAGAGGATAGAGGATACATGTACTAGCGAAAAATCATTGGTGTCATCTGACACCACTCCTACAACAGTGGATTCACCCCTGAGGGAGCACAAGGCATCTTGTCATCTAGTCTTGGTCACCGGCTGTTGCGACCACTGTAGCCGACCAAAGGGGCATTTCGGTCAAGCCAGCACAAAAACGAGGGTAAAAACATTGAGAAAACACCTCAAATAATATAGAAAATGGCACTCTAGCATTATGGCATCCTTGATCCTTTGAGCATCGCATTTTAATGAAACCACATGTGAGGATGGCATTTCAGCAAAACCCAACTCCAAGAATTTGCATAATGTCAATATTGTTAGTGAAAAAAAAAACACCGTAGAGATTTCTCGGTGAGCGAGACAATCCACATAAACATTTATGGGTATAAAATGAGAAGAAAATAGTTTAGGGGGCTACATGCTCCCATAATAATAGTTTGAGAGTGCAAGCTTCTACGCTCCTCGAAAAAAAACCTGGACAAAATTAAAGTACATCAATACTTAGGAAGAGTCAATTTCGTCCGGCAAGTAAAAGCCCACATCCAACCCAGGCTGTCCAGCTCGACCCCAGCCGCACATGGTCATCGCACACGATCGCTCGATGGATCTGGCAACAGGCTAGATGGTTAATTAAGATCGGCCGGGCGACGAGCTAGCTGTGCGGGGTGTCGTTGTTGGTGCCCGGCCAGCGTTGTGACGGATTATAGGATGACGTACGAGAGAGAGCACCAGTTCTGCAAATGGTTGTGCAGAGGCGGTGGGAGGCGGGGGTGGCTGATGCGCGCATCTGCGCCAGCAATTTAGCTGGCGCGCATGCCAGCTGCCCCCCTCCCCGTATTTTTTTTATTTTTTTGTTTGCACTTTTTTCCCCGATTTTGGTGCCTCCGGGCACGTTTTTCTTTTTCTTTTTCGCCGTTTTTTCCCAATTTTTTTTCAATCTTTCGCACACCTCTTTACAAATGTAGAATAAAAAAGTTTTAATTTTGATTTGAAAGTTCTTAAATTTGAGTTGAAAAGTTCCTAAATTTGAGTTGAAAAGTTTTTAAATTTTGAGTTGAAAGTTTATAAATTTGAGTTGAAAAGTTTTAAAATTTGAGTTGAAAGTTTTTAAATTTTGAGTTGGAAGTTTTTAAATTTAAGTTGAAAGTTTTCAAACCTAAGTTGAAAGTTTTAAATTCGAGTTGAATGTTTTTGAAATTCGTGTCAAAAGTTTTGAATATTTGAGTTGAAAGTTTTTATAATTTGGGTCGAAAGTTTTCAAATTCAGGTTGAAATTTTTTAAATTCGAGATGAAAGTTTTCAAAATTTAACTTGAAAGTTCAAATTTTGAGTTAAAAGTTTTCAAAATTTACATTGAAAGTTGTAGATTTTCAATTTTTTTGTGCTGAGAAAAAAAAGAATGGTTTGTTTAATAGACCATACTTGCGTATAACGGGAGTTAAAGGGAAAAAAGTCTGAGTCGCTGCGAAAAAAAAGAAAAAAGAAGTTGTAGCTAGTGGGCCGCGCGTGAGGATATGGGCCGAAAACGCTCGCGATTTGGCTAGCCGGCGGGTTTGCGCGTGATAGGAATCTCGGTGGGAGACGGGGGCGGTAGATCAGACGGAGCATGCCCGGTTTGTGCTGTGTGATGATCCAACTCCCAGCCGATCGAATACCCTCCCAAGTTCCCAACTGTTTCTCATGTTTTTGATTCAGTATTTTTCGTCCTTTTCAAACACTGATCTTTTGGCCGCTGTGATATAATTGATGTATGTGCTGCAGATCTCATTAACAGAATATCATTCTATGTGCGTCGTGCCAGCGAAACCGCCGTCGCGAATCGATCAACGAGGCCATTTAGAGTTTTTGTCACAACTACACCCGTCCCCTTCTACTTGGTCTCTTTTGCTATACTTCTACTCCCTCCGTTTTACGATGTAAGTCATTTTAGCATTTTTCGCATTCATAGATTCATTAACATCAATATGAATGCGGAAAATGCTAGAATGACTTACATTATGAAACGGAGAAAGTAATTATTATTTTCCTTTGAAAAAATTGGTAATATAAAGTTGACTACGGGAACGCCCAGGTCTTCATCCAATTCCAGTAAGCCACTAAAGAGTAGACAGTTTGCGCTGTGATGACTGATGATAACGTTTACACATAATGTCATTAATATATTAAACAACTAGTACAATTATTTTTCATGATAAGGTTCATCTGTTAACTGTAACATCATATTGGTACTTCAGCAGCGTATGCCACCCACTTCTCGGAAAGCCATGGGAGATCCTACAGATTGATGAAAGGCCCATAGCAACCTATAGTTTGACTTAGTTGTATGGGGGCTGTTTGTTTTCACTTTTATGCTGTGTTCTTGTTCCGTTCCTTCTAGGTAGTGGGTGATTATTCTCTTATCCATACCTAGCAATGAATATATGCAAATTAAATCACAAAAGTCAGACTTCGTATTTAATGTGCTAGGTCATGCAGGTTAATAGATAGTGGATGAGAGGTGGTGTGACTGTGGTGTGTCACATCTAGTAGCGAAGGCTGGCCCCGTACAGCTGGCAACTTGAGCCAAGTTGAGCGAAAGGACATGTTTGCGTGTGCTTGCTTGAGTTGTTTTGGGTAGTTGGAGTAAGCGCCTTCACTAAGATAATTTGATTTGGTGAGGTGACCTTGAACTAGGCATGGACATGAAGGACAGGAACAAGACGACTGGGGAGGGGTTGGCAGGTGAAAGCGGAATAGACTCAACGCAATTATTAGATTGACATCGATGTGGAGTACATATAGGCACAAGCCCTACCTTATCTACTCAACCGGTT